CTCAATTGGATAATAGTTGGAGAATTCAGTGTCGCAGCGGACTTGAAAGGAACGATTTGAGAGGTAGGATTTGAGGACTAGGTACAAGGATTGGGGTAGGTGAGTTTTGAGCTTGAAAAGCAAGCCATCATGCCACACCCGGGAGAAAGCTTGCGCTACGTCCAGGAAGGCACCGGTGCAATATTGCTTGTTTTCAAGCGCAGAGGATATATGGTCAACAACGCGAAGGCCTTGTTGAACAGTGGAGTGTCTGAGCGGAATCCAAACTGATGGGATGGGATATTGTGGGTTTCGAGTATGGGTAGGATGCGTTTAGAAGGATTTTTTCAAAGATTTTGGAGAGATTGGGAGCAAGCTTATTGGTCTATAGGATGAGTATTATTTACAGGTTTACCTGGTTTTGGGAAGAGGATGATTATGGAGTGTTTCCATGTCAGAGGAAAGTGAGTTGTGCGGAGGATATAGTTATATAGGTATGTAAGGAATATAATTGCTTTTTTGGGAAGTTGTCTTAGGATCTGGGAAGTAAGGAGATCGTGTCCAGGGGATTTTCGAGGTTTTAGGTTGCTTATAAGGAATTTGACCTCAGAGGGATTGACAGCTATAGGAGGCAAGGAGAGAGGAATAGGAGAAGAGAGGAATTCATTAATTTCAGCAGTGAGGGTGGAATGGAGTTCGGGGTGGGGAGTGAATGTTTTGGATAGGTGTTTGGCAAATTCTTCAGCTCTAGTCTCATCTGACGAAGCCCAGGTTCCATCATCGCATCGAGGGGATGGGAAACAGAATGGTATTTAAGGATTTTTCTGGTCAATTTCCAGAGGGAATTCATCGGTAGATAGAAGAGAGGTAGGAGTTGTATGATTGGGATCTAAAGGAAGCTAGTTCTTTTTTTACCTGTTTGGAATAAAATTGATATTTTTCGATCATCAGGATGCCTGGTTCTTTGCCAGAGGGTCCTAGATTGGCGTTTGGATTTAATTAGTCAGTAAGGTCTTGGGGCAAAGGATTCTTTTTACGGTATGTTTTGGAGGGAAGTGGTAAGGATGCAGTCCAAACTGCTTGTTGGATCAAGGTGGTGTAGGAACTCACTGCATTATCTAGGTCTTGAGGGGTTTTTAGGGATACTCTGAGGTCTATTGCATCTGCTATTGTTTGGCGGAAAAGGTTCCAGTTGACTGGGCCTCTGATGAATGAGGGAGGAGATAATTTGGGGATAGGAGATGCGGAAAGAGTTAGGTTTAGCGGACTGTGGTCTGAGGAAAGGTCATCAAGCCGTAAAACTGAATAATTTAACGGCCCTAGACCTTTGTGAATGAAGAAGTCAAGGAGATCAGGGTTACGGTTAGGATCGGTTGGCCAGTATGTAGGAGTATCAGGGGAAAGGATGTTGCTATTGTGGGAAATAAGTGCAGACAGCAATGTTCGCCCGCGGGAGTTCGTGGTTCTGGCTCCCCATTGCTGATGTTTGGAATTAAGGTCTGCACCTATAAGGAAATGATGTCCTAAGGAATTAAGAAAGGATATGAAGTTAGGTTCGGTTATTGCTGTTTTAGGTGGGGAGTATGCTGCGACAACTGTGACAGGAAAAAGTGAAGTTTGGATTGTTATTGCTGAGGTTTGTAGGAAATTATGTACTGGTAAAGGATAAAAGTGATGGGAGAGGGATTGATGGATGATGGCAGCAGTACCTCCATGTGCTGTTCCATCAGGATGGTCAGTTCGATAAATCTTGTAGCTAGGTATGTTGAACTGTCGTTTATTAGTTAGTCGAGTCTCAGTTATTAGGGCTATGTCAATGTTATTGTCCTGTAGAAAAAAAGTTAGTTCATTGATGTGGTTTCGAACACCATTCGCATTCCAGAGGAGAATGGAAAGGGGTTTTATTGAGGGCATTTAAGGAATTCTTGGCGGTGGAATAAGGTTAGATATGACATTTGTGAGTAAGGAGATAAGTGGTGTGATAAGAGATCTGAATTCGGAGAGGAATGATGAAAGGAGACTCGTAAGATCATTGGAATTGTTAGGGGAGGGATGTACATTTGGTGGTGACTGGGCTTTTGGGTGTTATTAAGTTGCGGTGGCGGATTATGAGGTTGAGGTTGAGTTTGTGGCAGGGCCTGAGGTTGAGTGGGCTGTTCTATTTCTCCCAGTATTTGAGCATAGGAGACTTGATTGTTCGTAAATCTTGTCTGTTGCCTTGGTGGTCTGGAAGTCCTGGAGGTCTCTTCCTGTCTAGGAGCTGTTAGGAGTCTCGATTTTAATATTTTGTAGGTCTGGCATCCTTTGTAGTTTGCTGGGTGGTCTTTATGGCATAATGCGCACACCGCAGGTGTTTGCCTGGACTTACTGCATTCTTCCGATTTGTGTTGTTGCCCGCACTTCACGCAGCACGGTAAGCGGTGGCAATAACTTATAGTGTGGCCATAAGATTGGCAATTATGGCATTGAACTATTTCCTTCTTGCTATATGGTTTTTCAACAACTATACTAGTGTACAGGCGTCTTAATTTGTAAATATTATCACCCCAGTGGTGCGCTCTAGGTCTACAAAAAATAATGGTAGGGCTATTTTATTATTTGAGCCCGGCTGCTCTTTATTTTCTTTAAATATATTAACGATTTGGCGGACACTGAATCCTAGATCCGTTAATTCTTCCTTGATTGCATCAGGTGGAGTTGAAGGGTGTAGGCCTCTTATCACTACTCTTAGTGCTCTTCTTGGAATAACTGATAAGTGTGAAATTCCGCCTTTGTATCAGTTAAATATTTGACAATTTTTTTATAAGTTTCGGGGGAATCTGGCATCAACTTCGTGTCATTGATTCGAGTTTGGCATATGTATTTGCCGTTGTCAGTATTTTATTTAGATGCTGGCAAAATAGCGGGAAATTTTTTATATTTCTGATGAATATAGGAGGTTTTTGGTTCTCTGGGGGTTGGTGGTATTTCCATTGTTTCTTCTAATGACAGTAATTGATATGGGTTAGGAGTAAAAAATGGAGATTCATCTGTTTCGTTGTTTATATTTTGTGCAGTCATATTTTTCGTTGAAGTACCAGGTTGAGGGTCATTCATGCTATCACTAGGGTTATCAGGTGTTGAAGGTGGCGTTTTTCTATTAGAACGTCTAGGCTTCTGTTTTACCGGTGAACTTCGAGGGCTGTTATTACCTAAACTCCTAGATCTTTTGTTTTTGCTAGACATTATCATATGATAATATCTCATCTCATGACGGTAGAGTGGTAAATAAAAGAGAGGAGAAAAAAAATAAATAAATAAAAGTTTTTGGTACGTAACTAATTACGTAGACTTGTAGAGGCCTCCAAAGTATACGTGTTCCCCCTTAGAAGCCACGGAAGCAACTAAAGGTAGTGGGGGCAATGATAGCCAGCTAAGGCCTCTACCTATAAAACTATCGTTGTTTACACTGAAGTCCTAATGTTAATAAACAAGTTGTTTACTCACTTTGTTTATGTTGAGTTGAATAGTCAATTGATAAATGTTGAATTATCACTGTTTTATTGCACTAAAGTTCACTAATTAACTGGTAATTAAGTCACTTTGTGGGAGACGATGTAGCAGGTTGGTAGATAGAAACTGGCGCATGCGCATACTCAATCCATTAATAGAATAATATAAACTAAAAATAACATAAATGCATTACTAAAAACAATATTTGTTATGAGTAACATTACTTGATGTAATGTTTACAAATTTACTTTATGAACTATTTTTTATAAAAATTTTCCTTCCAATCCCACCATAAACATTACTTTGTTCTAAAGTGAAGTTATATCTTAGAAGGTGTTACTTGAACTTCACAAGCTCTATTATTCTATCCTTCACTGGTGTCGAAAAATGGATTGATACTGTTTCATTTTGTAAGTAGTAATCTAGAACATAAAGTCAGTCTCTTAAGACCTTAAAAAGAAAGGCAGCATTTAAGAGTTAAGACAACTACTCTATCCAAGTTTTTCTAAATATAAAATGATTTATATTCATGATACATACTATATCTGCTGTCTTAAGTGTCATACTATGATTTTTTTTTTCTATTCTTTATTTTGATGAAATAAAGAATAGAAAAAATTTAATATCATTATTTCCTATTCAAATGTGGCAAGAGATTTAAGGGATGTCCTGGGAGTTAGGAGCTGGATGATGGCCGCATAGAACAGAGATGACTGGAAGTAGCTGGTGGAGGAAGCCAAGACTAGTCACCGAGTTGTAGTGCCACGATAGATAGTTAGTTATTTTCTGTTCATTTAATTATTAATTCTTCATTTTTAATATTTCATTAATAGTTGTTTGTTTAAAATCGATAATTGCAGTAGTCAGATCAACATTTTATGGGGAAATAATTGCAGAATAAAGATTATTTAATCACTTTATTACTTTTTTAAATTATTCCTGTAAAGGAATAAATATTAACTGATTTAAGTGAGAATCACGCTGAGTGAGGTGCCGCTGGGCAAAGATCCTCGTAGATAGATAGATAGATAGATAGAAAAATAACTTTATTCTGGGACACACTCCCTTGAGAATAACAAAATAGAAGAAAATTAAAATATTACATCTGGCCATATATTACATCATAATATAACATAAATATTACATCGTAATGCCTTTCATGACATAATTTTTTTCCAGCGACCTCATATTCACTGGTTGTCATTACTACTATGACAGGTGTGAATAAAAAATTAAACCAAAAAAAAAAAGTGCGAATCAAAATCTTGTTACACCAATTAGATGCTTTGAAATCCTTGTTCTAATGAGCTTGGACATCATGGCCTCTTTATACTGATAGATTTACGGATAATTATAATTTAGGATAAGATGATTAAAAATATATAAACAAACAAGATCTTAATATTAGTGAGATATATCTTCAAGGAAAATCGTGGAGATCACAAATATCAGGTATGGAAGAATCCAACATTAATGTCTGATCTACCCAATAAAAATCATTATATAATCTCAATAAAAACTTTGCTTACTTAATATCTTCTATAGTAGCTCTCTTCATAGGGTCTATCTGAAGCATGTGACACAGTAATGTCACCACACTTTTATTTAAATAATCAGGGATGGGGAAAATTCCAGCTAAAAAAAATATAATAGAACTGATTAATTTTCATGTAATAATAAAAACCTAATACAACAAATTTAAAGTTAAATCAACATTAATAAAATTAGTTTCAATAGGAATTAGAATTGCCATTGATTAATAAAATATTTCTACAGTGTCATTTTCATACTACAAGTATTTAATGCTGAATAGTAGTATCTATAATTCATAAACATTAAGATAAAGCACATGCTTTTAAACATTTGATATTCGACATGGTTGAATTTTATATTCATGTAACAATCACTTATTACAATAGCTACAAACCAGTTATCTATAGAACATACATGGAAATGTAGATAGTTCTAAATTTAAAAAATCTGAATAGTTGCCACATTTCCTTCTATATCTATATCATCAAAATTATTACTATTTTTTTAGCTAATATTGTATAATAAACATTGATTATGTGTAGTGTTGCCCAAAATCAGTCTTGGTCTTGCACTTTGCAAGACCAAGGCCAAGGCCGCCTAACTGTTGCAAGACCAAGACCAGCACTGGTAAAAAAAATTGATTTTTTAAATAAAAATTAAGGCAAAATAGTTACTAATACTTGACAATCTTAGTTACTATATGTTAATAATTAGTGTAACCAACATACTTTTGCATTTAAATCCTTTAATTTTTCATTTGGGCTTAGTTAGGTTTTTCCTATTTAAAAAATTACAGTAATATCTCCATAGTGATAAGCTAATAAGTAACTGCAAAACTGTTGCTTGACTCTTGCGCAAGGCCAAGACCATGACCAAGACTGAGTTTGCAAGACCAAGACTCGTCTTGGTCCCGCATTTGGGCAACATTAATTATGTGCTATTAATATAAATGAAGATCATTTATAAAAAAAAGTATTTCTTTTACTAAAATGATTTTGATTTTTTTTTAATTTGAAATACTATTAAAACAATGAATTATAAATTATTCTTCAATAATTTAACTATTCTAATACTATAATAGAATATCTAGGTCTAAGCACATACAATTCCAAGGAAATCAATAAAAATAAAATATAAAACCTCACATTTAATTTTTCTGAATAGAGTTGGAACATGTTCATCATCGAATGGTAAAGTACCACACAAAAGTGCATATAAAATTACACCGCAAGACCAAATATCAACTTCAGGACCTGCATATAATTTCCCAGAAATAACTTCTGGTGCAGCATAGTTAGGAGAGCCACAGCTAGTTCGTAAGAATTCACCATCCATCATCATATTGGAAAGCCCTAAAACAGTAAATTTACTTACAAAAAAAATTTAAGCTGTAAGAAATTATCTATTAATACTCAGTAGTATAAATAACTATCTAATAACGCTATCTGGTGCTAAAAAATGAATTGGAAATCAATAATGTTAGAAATTTTATATCTAAAAAACATTGGATTAGTTCGGGAGTTGGAAAAAAAAATCGGAGAGCCAGGCAAAGAATATTAACCATCACCTCATCTAAAGGGTACCCAAAAAGAGAAAAATGAAGGATGAACAGACTGATCAAGTTAATAACACTTTCTTCTAACAAAATTTGTAATCAATACTTACATAAAGAGACATGCTCAATTAATATATATGTGAACTACTAAAACAAACTAACCAAAATCAGCTATTTTAACATGAAGGTTGTGATCTAACAGAAGGTTTTCAGGTTTTAAATCTCTGTGGACTATCATATGACGATGGCAATAATCCACACCAGATATGATTTGTTGAAAAAATCGTCGAGCTTCATACTCCTTTAGCTGAAAATTCATTTTATAAGAATAAACTCACATTATTTACGGATATAAAAAATCAATTAAACACTTACTTTACCATGTTTAACTATATAATCAAAAAGTTCCCCACCAGAGACATATTCCATTATCATAAAAATATCTGAAGGAGTACTTATAACCTGATACCTGAAAATTTAATTAATAATATTCAACTTGTAGTTTAACATATATTTCATTATTTAGGATTAAACTAGCAAAACAACATAATGTTAACATTTATTCCTAATAAAACCACTTAATAGATCAACAAAAAAGATTTAAAAATAGAAACAGAAATTGGAATATAATATTAGAATAATTTCATTAAAGCTTGATGTTAATGACATTATTATGGAATGTTCACATTTTCAATTATTTACCCAACAGTTACTGAACTTGTCAACTTAAATACCTTAGAGGTGGTTATATAGTTGACTGTTGAAATTATAAGGATGAAAAATTTTTGACTGCACATCCTGACAAGTTTTCATCCTTAAATATCTTAGGAAGAAATTCTTTTGGATTTTAAATTATTAACCTTCTGAAATATTACAAAAAAATCTTATCTATAAACTCAAACCAAAGTCACTTAGTATCATATATAAAAATAGTTTAGGGGAAAAGTAGCAAGTATTGAGAAAATATTAACTAAATAATCACTCAAGGATATAGTCTTTTTGTATTCCATAGAATCCTAAAGTTCGCACTCTATCAATTATAAAGTCCTCCTCAAAAGAGTAATATAATCAAATTTCATGTATAACTTGGTTCCCTGCCGAAGTAGATAATAAGGTGATGCAGAAACTAATGAGAAAGTAATGTTTTGAGGTTTTCACCCCAAAAACAGGAGGCAAGAAAATAAAGAATCCAAAGAAATGCATAAAACCATAATGAAAAAAAAGAATAATTTCAATGACCTAAGACTTAAGAAATAAGTAAAAGCTAAAGAAGAAGGATGAAAATTTTTGACTGTACATCCTGACAATTTTTCATCCTTAAATGAAGAATGTTATACTTACAATTTAATAATATGAGGGTGTCTAAAAAGCTTAAGGTTTTGAATCTCACGACGAATTTTGCCAACAACATCTAAACTTTTTATTTTCTGCCTGTTTAAAATTTTAACTGCTACCTTATGTTTGGTAAGCTGATGCTCCCCAACTGAAAACAAAGATATTTTATTTGTATTATTTACCAAAAATACCTAGATAAGAACAAAAGGTTTTGGATAGTGAGTATTTAAAAACTTAAATCATTAGTCATCACCATATCGATTTTTATGATCAATCCATTAATATTTCCTAAACCAGTTATGTAAGATTTTACATAGCATAACTGACCTTAAAAACTGAGGAAGAAATGTTTCCTACACTCTTACATGAGCAACTTTTATCTTCTGACTGTCTGTAAAGAGGAACTTGAATTCCCTACAGAGAGATTTTGGATAAACTTTTATAAAAACGGTTTTTGAGCCTCGTAAATTGATTGGCCCTATCCTTTACCACAGAAAAAATTTTATTAATAAAAATAAAGAAATAAAAATCAATGATGTATATATTTATAATGATATTAAATTTCCAGTAAGTGAATTGTAATATTTTTACATGTTTGTTGTATTTATATTGTCGTGTGTTTACTAAAATAGTCAAATTATATACAATTTTTTTTCATTCATTTTACTAATTAAATTAAATAATTTCAGATCCTGGCCCAATCCCACAGTACTGATAATAATAATGGAAATATCAAGTGATTTCAGCAATAATAATTTCATTTAAATAAATATCTAATTTAATCTTCTTAAATAGTAAAGTAATTATCATGAAACTTAATGAAAGGAGAGCACAGATTTTTTATATAGTTGTCTATATACATATATATATATATATATATACTTTTTTTTTTTTGTGCAGCATATTTGGAACTGCTGGTCAAATAAATTCACAAATCAGTGAATTCAGATGCAATTAATCAAATTTTAAACAGCATATTTTGATAATTTCAATTCAGTAAAAAAATTAAAATTAAAATTAAAATTCTACATTGAAGAAGAAATACCAGATTACAATCAGAGGTTCATTTTTCCTTAACAAACAACAAAAAATCACCAAAACACCACTAACTCCAATAATTGTCTTCTTGTAATATGAATTTCTTTCATCTTCCATTTTTATCTTTTTAAACATCACACTCAGTTTAAATATCAGTTTGACTTTTCCTTTCTTTATAAGTGATTATTATTATTATTTGAAATACCAAAAGTAAATTGAATGATTTTCTTCTAAATTTAAATATTTGATCGACCCTAACAACATGAAGCAGTTTTTAAAAATTATAATGAAAATAAAAAGCCAATAATTTTAAGTATATATAAATTTGCTTGTGAAAAATTTGTTGGAGTAGAAATATCATTTTGTTATAAAAATATTTTAAATGATAGAAGATTATGTTTTTCAGAAATTGTTTAATTAATTTTAGTGCGGATAATGTCGTTTATGAATCCATTTGTATTTTATTTATTTTGTTCATGTTGTCAATTATTTTTTTAAATACAATTATTGCTAATTTTGTTTTACTGCTAATTATAAGTTTGTAATACTTTCATATTCTGTATACAAAAAGTGTTTCATATTATATTTTTAATCATTAATAAATAGATTTTTATTTACAGTGATTTTTTTTTTTTTTAAGGTTCGGATTTCTTTCTATTTATTCTTATTATGCCCTTTGTGTTACGGTACATGGATTTTATAACATCTATTTGTGCATTGAGTTGATTTTTTGCGGCTAGAGCTGCCCATATTTCTTGTCTAGGGACCGAATCAAATGCTTTGATATCAAGAAAAGCTAGAAATATGTTCTTCCCTCATTCTCATGCCTTTTCACTAATAGTCCTGAGAGAGAATACGTGATTCTGGGTCTGGCGATGCGATCTGAATGCTGCCTGCTCTTCATCAAGGTTTCCTTCTATGATTCCCTTCAACTTTCATTCAAGGATGGATGTGTAGAGCTTATAAACCACTTGGCAGAGACATTTCGATCTGTGATTCATTCAGTCGCTAGAGCTTCCTTTCTTGTGTATAAGAAAAAGGATATTATAATCCCACTCCTTCGGCACAGTTTTTTGAGAAAATGCTGTTTGAAAGATGTCTTGCAGGAGCAGGCTTTTCTAGTCTTTAGCTTTCATTATAATTATAAATTAAATATTTAAATGTAGATATATTACAAATATTGAGAATGTAAAAGAAATTAATAATCTTCTTATTTTTATTTTTCTAGGAAGCTTTAGTTTGTATATTTTTCAAAGGTTAAGGCAAATAAACTTCCATTTTTCTTTAGTCTTTTTTAATCAAATCTATTATATCTGACGTTTCGGGACAATTTTCCCATCCTCAGAGAATCCTTTATGTTTACTTGACTTTGTAATGTGGCACCGATTGTCAAAAATTACAATAATTGTCATATCTATTTAAATATAATACTTTTTGGTGTTACACATTCATTTTCTGTCCTCACACCAACCAACATCTGGAGACGTATGGAACTGGAGGTAGCCAGATGTTGGTTGGTGTGATGATGGACACAAAATGAATGTGTAACACCAAAAAGTATTATATTTAAATAAATATGACAATTATTGTAATTTTTGACAATTGGTGCCACATTACAAAGTCAAGTAAACATAAAGGATTCTCTAAGGAATGAAAAATTGTCCCGAAACGTCAGATATAATAGATGTGATCAAAAAAGACTAAAGAAAAATGGAAGTTAATTTGCCTTAACTTCAGAAATTAATAATAGAAAAGTGATACTAAATTAACTGTTAATAATATAAGCATTTTGCATAGGCGGAAAATCACTTAACTTAAAAAAAAATTATAATAAATAGGGTTTGAAATCAATAATTAAGAAAATAAAAATAGAAATCAAGTCTGATCAAAAGTTTTATCCGGAATTTTAAAGATCATTTGGTGATTTTAATTAATAGCGATTTTTACTTGTGATTATAAGTGATAAAAACCATATCCTGATCATTATTTTTCAACAAAAGTTTCACAATTACCAATAATAATAATTTTTGAGTAATACTTTTTTAAATCAGAAATACAAAATAATTTTTGTAATCTCTATGATTTTTAGTTAGGAGTAGTAGATAGAGAATATTGTTGTCAACTATTAGCAACAGAACATTTTTATTTCTGAAATTCATTAGAAATTTTGGTTTACAAAACAATATATATATATATATATATATATACATAGTGCAAGTACCAGGTGCACATTTAAAGCAATTTCATAAATATGATATTAAAAGATGTGTTCAATCATAATGAAAACATTCATGTCAATATATTAATGTTTGTGTTAAAGATGATTTTTATTTTCTAATCACAATTTAATCATTATTATTTATCTAAAACCGTTCACTCAGTGAGTGATCATTATTTTTAATATAATCAATAAACATCAAAGATCGATTTAAATTTTAATTTATAAATCACGAACGATTTTTAAATTAAAAATTAAATATAATAATTATTACATGGTTTTGTGAAAAAAATTAATAGCGATTCCAAACCCTGATAATAAAGTTTATATAACAATTATTATTTAAATATTACATTAATTATTAAAATATAAAAACTTTTCTCATCGCTAAACAAAATCTTTCGATGAAGATATTGGTGTAATGACCAAGGAGCAATTTTTATCTATCCACGCTAATTGTTTTTAGAGAAGTGGTTAGTCTTTGTCCTGTCATTCTTCGAAATGCACCCATCCAAAGATCACTTTTTGTTAAGCGAGACATTAATCTGACAGAGATTCCCATTTCCCGAGACATGATTTGTTGTTTTCGAATGAGATTTCTTCTGATTCGAGTAGCCACTGCTCTCATTGCATTTACCGTTCCCACAGTGCGCGAACGGCCCGGTCGAGGTCTGTCACATAAAGATAGGGTCTCATTATATATATTTATAGTGCGGTACACGAACATACGGCTGATACCCAAAAGTTTCAAAGTGTTGAAAATCTCTGACCTACATTTTCCAACTTTGTTGGATTGAAATTATTATCCTGATATGTAAAGAAAATAATCTGATAGAGATAAGGATTATCTAAATAATACCCAAGGATGTAAACAAAGTTCAATTTGTAACAGTATTTATGGCAGAACTAGATACAGACCAGGAGCTGCAAAAACGGTAGTCAAGGAACTAAAAAGATATAACATACCGGTAACAGCCATTCAAGAGGAGGTCAGATTTTGGCGAAACTATTACCAACGGCCATACACTAGTCTACTCCGGGAGAAACAATAAAAATGCGACAGCCAGCACGGGATTAGTTAGTCCAGCGGCAAGGAAATCAATCATAAACTTCACTCCGATAAACGAAAAGATTGGTGTATTACGAGTTAAAGATCAGTTATGGTAAATAATATTACTAAGTCAGCAGATAGCTGGGTTCCCCTCCCAAGCCTGTATATATACCCCCTCGTTTGTAATCCCAGTAGTCAGCAATAGCTAGGTAATTAAGGGTGGCTCATAGTTTAGAGTTTCTGTTCATTGTAAAAATTTATTTATATAAATAAACCTTTTTTTGAGCGAAGTGAGTTTAGAAGAATAAATTGGCGCCCGAACAGGGACTACTTGATAACAGATCCGACTGTAAGGCCACTAAGTAGATCCGAAGAAATAGCCAATAAGTAACAGGACTTACTGTTTGGAGGTGTATTTAAACACTTTGCGCCAGTTTCAGAAATTTTTGAACTTCTTCTCTCACATAGCTTTGAGGTATTATGTATTTTACATTTGTATACTAGTCTTAATGGTTATTTAATTTCATGTCAACTAGCAATAAAACTAGAGAAAGTAAATTAAGTGCAATTTTATTTAATAATAGAGATTTAATAATAAAGAAGAGAAGAATAGTTGGGGTGCTCAGTCAAAAAAGGAAGGCAAAAAATAAATTATAATATTTATTTTTTACATATGCCAACGTTTCGACCTGAAGTTCAGGCCTTCATCAGGGCTAAGAAAATAACCAGATAACAAGGTATGAGAAACATAAGTAATGATGGTAAAAAAGATAATAAAAAATGAGAAAATAAAATAAAAAAAATTATAAGAAAAATAAAATAGATAGATATAAAGTAAAAT